CCAAAAAAGCCGCAGAACAGTACTCTTTATATGCAGCGCATTGTTAATTACGTTTATTATTCTGTGAACTTGCTCAATTGTTGAATGTTGTCGCGAAACCCAAATTGATGGTTCGGAATAAAACTTTGTTCTTGTAGGATTATTTTAATCCGTTGAAGAATTAGCTTTTCAATATTTTCGATATGCAAGACAATAAACTTATCGGCCGTAGGAAGATAATAGATAAGGGTCTTTACCTGGTTTCACTATAAGGATTATTTTAGCTCTTTTCCAAGACTGCGGAAAAGTTTTCATTCTCAGTATAGAGTTATTATTATTGTGAGCATTCTAATAGCTTTTCTTGGAAGTTCTTTAAGCATTAATAGAAATCCGGTCTGGTCCAGGTGATTTTCTAGAATTTGCTTTTGCAATTTCTTGGGTTACTTCAGCCGCAGTAAAACGATTAACATCATGAGTCACTAGCGACGGTGAATCCTGAAGAAAATCATAAATGAATTGTTCATCATTAGAGTTGCATTTACGTGAAAATGGCTGAAATGTGAGGCGCAGGTGTTCGGCGAATGCATTAGTTTTTTCTTCTGGACTTCTTGCCCATGAACCGTCTGTTTTTCTTAAAGGAGGAATTGGTACAATTGGTCTTTTAAATTTTTTGGTTGCTTTCCAAAGAGAATAATTTGTTTCACTACTTGCAGAAAGATTATGTAAGTAGTTTTCAAGAGAAACATTTTTATAATTATTATTAAATTTTTCAGGTCTCTGCATGCACTGTTAAATTTTCTTTTATCTTCCGGTGATCTAGTTATTTGCCAAATTCTTCTTAATTTCCTTTTCTGTGCAATGATTTTTTTTAATATCTATGGGCACAGAGTGACTGTGATTGTGATTTAGAATAGGAGTCGATATTTTAGCTGCTGCAATTAATGTATTTGTGAAGTTGTTGATACCGATATTCAAATCATTCTCACTTTTTAATGGAATATTACAGTTAATGGTGTCTTCGATGTATTCTTGGAAAAGAAGCCAATCGGTAATTTGTTTGTAAGCGAACTCATGACTTTGGTTGGAGTATTAGTGGAGTATTTAAGAATTACTGGTGAATGATCAGAACTGAGATCCAGACTTGAAATTATTTCAACACTCTCGTTTTTAATATTTTTGCTACAAAAAAATCGAGGAGGTCTGGAATTTTGTTCAAATCAGTTGGCCAGTATGTGGGCTCACCCGTAGAAAATGTCCGAAGATTATTATTATTTATTGTATTATACAATGACGGCCTCTAGGTGTTATTAGTCTAGATCCCCAAAATGTGTGCTTTGCGTTATAATCACCTCCCGCAATAAACAAATTTCCAAGGCTGGTAAAAAAAGTTGTAAACTGATTTTCAGTAATAATGTGCCTTGGCGGACAATAGATTGCCGATACTGTAATTTTGTGAGTCATTAGGTCAATTAAAACATTTGTCGATTGTATGTAGTCAGTATGAAAAGGTTCTGTCTCGTAATGTCTTATGTTTGACTTTATGATAATGGCAGTGCCACCGTGAGGTCTGTCGTCCGGGTGATTTGTGGTATATGTGTGATAATTAGGAAAACGAATATTGTGATTTGTCTCGGTAAAATGCGTCTCGGAAATTAGCATAATGTCTACGTCATTGGTAGTTAAAAATTGTTTGAGTTCATGGACATGATTGCTCAAGCCGTTCGAGTTCCATATGCAAATTGTTAGTTGCATAGACATAATTATTTTTTATTAGATAAAATTGTTGTTAGTAAATTAAGCATTATGCCCATTTGTTCTGTCAATATTTTAATCATGTTTTTAAGTTCTGTTAAGTCATTACATTTATTGTTAGTATTGTTTTCAGAGTTACTATTGTTTATTGAGTTCGTTGAGTCAGTAGGTAAAGTTGTGTTGTTTCTAGTAATATTGGAGTAAGTTACGCCCGGTCTTAAAGTAGCATTTGGTTTTAAATTTTGCACATTACTTTTTCTGTTTTCTGACGTAATGAAGTTTTTTTTTTTTCAATATATTCTTTATAGACGTGACAGCCTTTATAGTTAGCAGGGTGATTTTCATTACAAAGGACACACTTCACTTGGTCGACCTTTTTTTCCCACTTGCATTTTTCTGTCAAGTGATCTTGAGCGCATTTAACGCATCTGGGGGTGCGGTGGCAATAATTCTGGTATGACCATACCTTTGGCAGCGAGTGCACTGAACAATTTCTCTAGAGAACCTCTTTGCCTCTATTTCTACTTTAGTTTTATATAAAAAATCAATTTTATAAAAATCTTTATTATTAGGCTGTTGTTCAAGCTCAATTAAAAACATGTTCAGAGGGAATTTTGAGATTCTGCTTTTAATGTTCTCAATACGAACGACTTTGTGACCTAACTGTTGTATTTCATTTTTGAGCATATCTGTATCCGTGCTGAAATGTAGGTTTTTAACCACTATTTTGAACGTTCTTTTACATTTCTCCTGGAAAGAATGCATTTGAGTACCCCTCTCTTTCAGAAGTTTGAGAATTTTATTGTAAAGTTTAGCATTATCAAGATTAACTCTAACCCTAGTTTCGTCAATAACTTTTATTTGATAAGATTTTTTGCTTCACATTCTAAGAGTTGAGCTAATGGTTTGATATCACGTACCTCATGTATAAAAATTGGCGGCGGTCTGTTAACTGGGCTGCATTTATCACTCGAGTCTTCGGTATTAGGATTAGCTAAAACTTCATATATATTGCTTGTGGGAGTTGGGTTTAGCCAGTAGTTCGAATTTGAAGATGTTTTTTTGCATGTTGATTCTTCATTTAAATTTCTTTTGAATTTAAATAATTCACAACATAATTGTGAACTAAAATTTTACACCAGTTCCAGTTCAAGTTCGATGTAAATAATAAATGATTTTCTAGGCAAATTTAAAACTAAACTAGCGCATTGTTCAATTTTTTGGGGGGCTATTTATGCAACAGATTCAAATCTGAAACAATTTTACAATTGTTTCTGGAATTTTAATTTATTTTTTCATTCAAATTCGGCTTTGTACTACTTTATCCTATTTGCATGTGGAAACGTGATTTTTTTGATACCAGAAGAAGATGCGTAACTTTTAGGTCCAATTTAGTATTCCGGTCATCGATTGCCGAATCGGAATATTTTCGATCAAACTGGACCGGCGGAAACTCCGTTGTACATTTAAATGCCTAATCAAACGAATATATGTATGCGAACATGGATATTTTACGATTATAATGTCAAGTTCTAGGTCAATTTTTGAGTAATATATGAAATATATTTTGAACCTAGTTAGAGTAAAATAAAAATCCAAGTTTTTTTAGTCGGAGCTCCAACAAAAAATGTTTTATTTACATAATTTTTTTTCATAAACAGATGAAGTTGACAGTGATTAATGAGTCAATTACAATTATAAAAATAAATATACTGGCACTTCGTATAATAAATTAATTGTGAAAACTTGTTAGAACATTAGATCAGTATAGAGCAGGGCTACTTAACCTATGGGTCGCGGGGAAAAATTCTGGGGTCGCGAGTGATTTCAATGTCAAATATTTATATCGTTTTACAACATCACACGTCTTGATTTTTGTATGTTCTAAACAAATTATTAAACTATATAGTTTCATATGTATATGTATATGCATATTGTTACTAAATATAATACATAAATTATTTAATAATAATATATTTTTTTTACATCTGTGGGGTCGTCCAGAAACTTGCTATCCTAAATGGGATCTTCAAAAACTCGCAATCATAAATGGGATCGCGAATGGCAAAAGTTTTTAGAAGCCCTGGTATAGAGTATCAATTATATGTATAA